CAGAGGTGTATCGATACTTTGAACCATGGGTTCAATACAGCAGTTAGCAATGTTTGTGTTGATTAAACCCTAACAAATAAGAAAATAATAAAAAGAAATTAGTACATAAACACATAAAATGAGTATTCTAGTTTAATAATGCCTTTTTTTATAATTATAATGTCAAAAAATAAAAAATATAAAAGTATTTTATAACATAGTGCACAAAACTACTTGGCGACTGGGCGAGGCGAGCCTCCAAGGGCACCTGCCTAGGCGTCACCTTGACAACTATGATTGTAACCCCCTTTGACAAATACAAAGCCTTGGTAGATTTTGGGGAGAACAAAGTAGACATCTTAACTATTAATTTTCAGACTGTTTTAGGATTTGTTACAATCTTCAGATGAAATCCTCTCTCTAACTCTTAAGGAGTTCTTTGTTGAAAGATGGGGTACTGATGCATATAATAGTCTTGCCTTTTCATCTTTGGAGGCAAGAAGTAGGAGAATCCATAGCATTGATGTGTGGAGGGTGATTGGATGGAGCCTATTGGGGAGATATCCACTCTGCAGCTCTTCTTGTAAGCAGAGCGAAGCCTGGAGATAAAACTGGAGGGTTGTTTTTGTCAGTGTTTTGAACATTGGACCGGACAGGCCAGTCGGACCGGTTGAACCATGACCCGGGCACTTGACTGGTTCAGCTATACCCCAATAACCGCACTTAATCAAAAACCGGTGAAAGCTGGCTAATCGGCCAGTTTAACTAGAAAACCGGTGAACCGGTCCTGATTTTATGAAACTGCCCGGGTCCTTAACAATTGAAATTTTAAAATTTGTTTAGTAAGATTTGAACCCATGCCCTCTAATTTCTACAGATTGCTTACTTACCATTAGTCCACCTCTTTACTTTGCATTAATTAATGACTCTTTATTGTACATATTACATTATTATACATGTATTTTAAAGAAAATGTAAATTAAGAGGCTTGAACCCTAGTCATTTGCTTTAAATAAGAAACTTGCCATCTATCTACCATATTTAAATATATTAAAACTTAAAAGTTATAAAATATATTATATATAATATTTATATGACCCATAGTATATATCCATATGCCACATCATCATGGTTTGACCTCCAATTTGACCCCGGTTGAACCTCTGACCTTTTTGGGCAGTGCATAATGATTATTCTCAGATCTTGTAAAATAAACTTCAGAAGTACTCCTGCTTTTGCTTTTTCTTTGAATTTACTTGTACACATGAGTCATTGACAGGTCTATGGCTATAATGATGAGAACCTACTAATGATTATATTTAATTATAGTCAGTCACTTATTTCTCCATTATGAAATTTCTCTTCTCAAGGTGATGCTGAGTCAATATGGAAGATTGAGGAGCTAAGATCAAATTTGATGAAGCAGCACACAGTTGTCAGTGGATTTTCTTGTGCTAAGGTAATATTCTCTTTTAGGTGAGGCATGATAAGGAATGCAGACATTGATGCAAATAACTAGGATAGAAATCTTGAATTCAGGTGACATACTGGTGTCCTGTCCATTTTATGGACACCATGTATCAAATTATAGTTTTTTTACAAAGTACTAATCTTATAAAATTCAATCTTTGATTGCTTGGTTGAAAGTCTTGTTGGATGTAATAATGACAACTACCTTCTTGGTGACCTGTGGGAATAAATTCCTTATTTTGTTCCATAATTTCCTTTTACTTGTTCGGTATTGATAGATATGCTCTTAGTATTTTCTACTATCTAAACAAGTCGGTTGAATTTAACTTTTCTTGGAATGGTGTATAACCACTAATAGAAGTGTTTCAGTAGAAAATTAATTGTTAGTGACTTTTTATTGGGAGCAAGTAGAAGTGGATTTATTTTAAGCATACCTTTATCTCTGTTGGATGATGAACAGTGGTTCATGCTATGGGTGTTTTCTCATGTGTTTGGGATAAGTGATGCATGAATAAGGTATTTGCTATTAGTTATTTTGATTACATTGGTGGATGGTGCCCTTATTTATTTGCACTGGTCATAGATGAATTGACTAACTAAACATATTCAGGACTGGAGGAGGTCCCATCGTGCAGGTTGTTTGCTGATAACATTGTTTTAAGGGTTAATTACTTAAATATACCCTGTGGTTTCCAAAACTACTTAAGTCTATCTTCTAGAGTGGCCCCACTTGAAAGAAATAGGCTCTCTGTTAGTGAAACGTTTTGGGATGTTTGCACGTCATACCACTTGTATATTATATTTATTAAATTTCCAATTTTACCCTCATTTTCTTTTTTTCCTGCTCCTAGCTGACCAGTAGAGCTGTTTTCTTTGTATCAATATCTAGTTTCTGAAAATCCTTAACATAGAAAAAAGTGGGGCAGAAGCTGCAGAACTATCGAAAAAAACCTGTAGATGTCGATTGTGCCTATCTGCTGCTGCTGCAACAAGTTGCTTAAGATGTCAATCTTGACCAGTTAGTGACGTACAACAGAATTGATATATTTCTGTACATGTGTGCCTATTTTACAGTGACAACATATAATTTGAAACTTAAATCTATCTAATACAATGAATAGAGGTTAGCTTGAACATGTATCTGTTGTAGTTGATGCGTGAATAGCTTGAGAGTCTTTTGGTGGCTTATCAGTGTCATGGTGGTGTTCTGTTCAGTGATTGAGCAGAACTCAGTTTCTGCTGTGTTCGCTGGCTGCAGTGGAGCAGGAGAAAGAGAGGAAGAGGGGAATGGGAGGAGCGGAGACCGAAGAAGGAGAATGAGGGCCGGAGGGGTAGAAGAGAAGGGAGGAGGAAAACAAAGGGAACTGGTGTTTCTCTGCTCAGTGGTTGAGCAGAGCTCAGTTTCTGCTGTGCTTGTGAGCTGCAGTGGAGGAGGAGAGAGAGAGGGGAAGAGGGGAAGGGAGGAGGCAGAAGGCAGGGAAAGAGAGGGAGATACCTTTTTTTGTGCTTTTTTCAGGGAGTGGGCAATTGAAACCAGTAGCAGAGCCTATATGTTTTTGAAAATTTGAAAAATAATTAAGGGCATGCTTGTCCTTTAATTAATTCCGTCAATCTTAACAGAAGAATGCTATGACCTGGTATATTGAAGTAGTTTAGTGAAACCCTTGTTTTAACTTTTAACTGATGAAACTAATGAATGATTAAATGAAACATTAGGGGAAATGCCTTAGAAACAAGAGGTTTTAAAATAAGTAGGACTAAAACAAAATATATGATATTAAATTTAATAATAATAATAGGAGTGTAAATCAGGGTGTACTTATGATTGGAGACCAATGATAACTTACTGTGACCTTTTCTGGTACCTTGGTTCAATAATCATAACAGGGGGGGGGATTGAGGAGGATGTTGCACATGGAATTAGAGCAGGATGGGCAAAATAAAGAGGTGTGTCCAGAGTTTTATGTGATAGGAAAATGCCATTTAGATTAAAAAGGAAATTCTATGAAACAATTGTAAGGTGAGCTATGTTGTATGGAGCTGTATTGGGCAGTCAAGAAATAACAGTCCAAAACATGAGTACAGCAGAAATGCGTATACAGAGATGGATGAGTGGAAAAAAATAGAAAGGATAGGATCGGAAATGAAATCATTTGAAGGAACCTAGGAATAACTCCAATTGGTGATAAAACTGGCCATTGCCTGGCCAGTTTCTAGGCCGAATGTTTTGACTGTCTGGGTCACTGACGACTTTGAAACATTGCTCCAAAGTTTGGCAATAAATTTCATATTAAAGTATAGAAAATCAACATATTCATGAGAAGAAAAGGAAGAAGGAAAATAAAATTCAAAAAAATTGGGGCTGAACCCTTATTTTTGTTATAGGAAAAGAAGAAAATAAAAAAGTATTGGTAGTAGTAGTAGAAGAAGAATATATGGAAGAGGAAAATGTGCTGATTAGATAAAATTTTAAGTTTTTCCTTATTGGTTTAGGTTTTTAAGTCTTTGAGGGTTCAATACAGCATTTAGCAATGTTTGTGTTGATTAAACCCTAATAAACAAGAAAATAATAAAAAGAAATTAGTATATAAACACAAAAAATGATTATTTTAGTTTAATAATGCCTATTTTATAATTATAATCTCAAAAAAGAATAAATAAAAAAGTATTTTATAGTAGGAAGTAGAAAACTGCTTGGCGTTTAGGCTAGGTGAGCCTCAAAGGGCGCCTTGTCGCCTTGACAACTATGCAAAGAGGTGCCTATCTAGTTTCAAGCACAAGGGTTTAATTTGAAAATTTGACCATGTAAAATTCAATTATAAAAAAAAAGACCATGTAAAACTTGCTTGTCGAAGAGAACTCTTTTAAGACCACATTCATTAACAAAAAGATTGAAATTTCTCGTAGCAGTTGTAATTGTTAATGGGGGTTATTTGTTTCTCGAGAATCTGATGACATTCAAGTCACCTCCTATATGCCATGGCCCCTTCTATAAACCCTTAATAGCATAAACTCTTCCCAAAAGGCTATTTTCTCCCTCTTAGTGTTAGGCTTATACACACAAGTCAAGACCAACTGAAATCAATCCTCAATATTTCTCAACATTACTGATACTAAATATCTTCCAATCAATTCCTCATTCTGCATTTCTTCATTATTCTACAATGTGCTGATAACTTCTTGATGCTGATCCCCAGGTGGTGCAAAGGCCCATCTTACTTGTTTTGTAGTCCAAAAGCTTCTCACCCACCTTTTCTCCAGGTCTTCCAACTTTGACTCTAGTATTAATGCAATCCATGGCCTCTCCATAGGACATCTTTCATTGCTTTCCTTCTAGCATTCCCTAATCCTCTAACAACATTCCAGTTTATAATCCTGATGTTAACTCTTTTGTTGTTACCTCACTCAAGAATGACTTCCCCCTCCTCTCTGCCTCCCTTTCTCCCACTGCAATCCTTATTCATCACATTTGAGCTTCTCCACTTTACTCTTCTTCTGTTTCTTAGTCTGCTTTTTTCCTATACCTATTTGTGCCTATCCTTTGGTTCCCTCTCCCTTCTTTTGTCATTCGACTTTACCTCCAGGATATGTACCTCTGGTATTGGAGCCTTGCCCTCCTCTCCGTTGGCCCTATACACCCCTGTCTCCGCCTTGATCAACTTACTAAAATTTTCTTTTATTAGCTTCTAATTAACTTCTCCTCCCCTTTCATTTTCAAATCACCTGCTTGTTCCTCTGTGTAGCATTCAAACTCTTCAAAGACTGGCACAAACTGGTGTCCTGGCATCCTGTTTATCTGGGCAGATATCAATGAAAGCAGTAGGGTTTAGAATCAAAACAAGTATCTTTGGTAACAGTTATTATCTTGACAAACTGAAGGAGAGTGAGTGGCCAAGAGATGATTTGAATGGTTTCATTAGGACTGTTATTAACTACATCCTTATCCAGCTTTTCTGCTCTATCATAGATCTGTTTGCTCCTGGGTCACGTCTATTGGTTAATTTCTCATAATAATCCGTACACTGTTGACTGATGACAGGTGTTGAAATCTGTCCTGCTTGCCTTTTGGGGCACTGAGAAGGGGCTTGCCTCCAAATTACGTAGACCCTGTTGAGGTTCCTTATGATTTGAATTGACTTTTGTCTCCCTTTAGTGCCAATGAAGCCCCCACCCGCTTTGAAATAGGGTTTTTTATTGTTCAGTCCACCCCAGAAATCTGAGCCCCACCGTACAGGTGGGATGAATCCTGACCGTGGGTTGATGCCAAATCCACAGGCAGGGTGCGGTTTATAGGGGGGCTACTAGTAGACTAGGAGGGGGCTGTAATTTCAGATTTCTGAGGTGGAGTACTGTCTACTTATCCCTTTGAAATAATCTATGTTCATGATTATGATTCTGGATCCTTAGGTAACAATATTAAATGCCCTAGACTCCATTGTTGTCATTGTTAAGAAAATGTGTTCTAGACACAAGGTGAAGAGGAGAATTTTGTTTCTAAGAGGAGAAGAAAAGGTTCTTGGTACAGTATTGACATAAAATTGACCATTACCCAATGCTAGTCCTGGTTATTGGGGATCTTGTGAAGAGTGGAATGGGTTTGAACCTAACGCCTGTTATTTATTTATTTATTTTTTTATTTTGAGTGTGTTACAGCCACGACTTTGAGTAAAATAATAACATACAGAATGTGGAAGTTAGAAGGAACTTATTTCCTTATTTCCTTTTTCTTCCTCCCCACCCCCACCCCCTCTGTTTTTAGTTCTCCTTTTGGGATAACTATATTCTTTTGCAGAAGTGTATAAGTTTTGTTTACTTCGTGCAGGGCTTTCTTCTTGAGCATAAACCAGAGTGTGCTGCTGCCATCATCCATACCCTCAGTCAGGTGACTATTATTTTTCATATGATTTAAACTATAAGACCTAAATTGTTAGGGGGCATAGTGTGTATGAACTAGTTCATTGATATATAGTTTGAAAGTTGGTTTGCTTAGGATTGAGATACATGGCAATTAAAGGGTTGCTGGAATTTAGAGCTGTAAATAAAAATTCTACTATTGGTGAGAATTTTCTTTCCTATTGTCCTCTCACATATGTGAAGAATGAACATTCCAAGTGAGATCAGGTAGGATTCTCTCTCTTATCTCTATTGGTTAAGGCTCATTTTTGAGCTGAATAACTAAAGACCATAGAATGCCATAGATTGATCTAACTTGAATAGCCTTCTATATGAACTTGAATAATTTTGTAGATTGACCCAAAAAAAGAAAAGAATATGAAATATGATTTATTATATCATTTGTAATGAAAGAAAATAAAAATATATCAAGTTAGAAGCCTACTACTTGTGAAGAAGTTTTTTCCCCCTCTCAAATTTCACAAACTATGTACTGTAAATCCAGATTTGAACTAGGTAGTCATGATTGGTATTGTTGGAAATAGAATTGTACTGCCCTCTTCCAAATAAATAAATAAAAAGACGGGCTGAACCATGCAACTGTGTATTGATTTAAGTTTTGGTTTTACACTTGAGCTCCTATTTTGGGTGCACAAGCCATTCTGGGTGGGGGGAGTTGAAGGCAGGATTTGTTTCCAGGTCATTGGAAATTACTTCTGTTGACATTACCAGATGAGCTAGCTGGCACTTTTAGCTTTTAGTGCCTTGTGCATATACCTTTTTTCTGCCCAATTGGCAATTTTAATATAAGCCTTTTAGTTGGAGAAAGACCAGTGCCTCCAATAAGGTGTCATTAAATATGGTACTTATGAATCACAAAAGGATAAATGTTAAGGAACTCTAACCCCCTACATGTTATCACAAAAGTCTTGTTTACCTTTTGCTCTTAAATGATTTGGAGGTTCTGTAGCTTTCTTTTTTTTGTTTTTTGTTTTAATTGATTGATATATAGAGGTTCCATATCATAACTATCAAAAAAAAAAAAAGAGGTTCCATATCTTATAGCACCACACCTCCACAGAAACAGTCTTTGGTTGCACTGTGATGCACCTATAAGTAGCAGATTTCAAGTTAAAACATCGAACTCCACACACATGAATTTAATTGATGTACTAAGAATTTTGAGAATTTGTTTTTTGGTTGTTTGGCTTACATATGATATGATTTGGAGAGAAATAAGGAAGATAGTGCTGAAAACATTTAACTTATATCCTTTCACAGTTTCACTACCAGTATCATTTCTTCTGTTGCAAAAACTTGGATGCATTGCTAATTTGTACTGCCTACAGAATTTTCCTGACAAAAAGAAACCTGATGTTGCTAATGAACTTGAGAAGTTGGTAAGCAAGTGGCCTTTGGAGGTTATCAAGCATCAAAAGAAGGAAGAAAGGAAGGTATGGTTTTTGACAGATTATATTGCAGTTTTAGGCTGAGAAGGGGTATGTTTACATAAGATCTCAATGTGAAACCCATGTATAACAAGCAGTGCTTTGAAAGGTATTATGCTTATGCCTTGAGGTGAGACTCAACTACAACTAAAATGCCTTTAGGTTCAACCTTGAGGTTCGATCATATGGAACATGCTTATGCATCTAGATGCCTTGTGTGAACAACATGTTCTTCATACATCAAAGTAGGGGTTTAATCAAAAGGCTGGATTAAAGAATAAAGATCAATTCCAACTTCCAAGTTCCGTGCGTGCTTGTGATTTGTTTAAATGTTTTAGTTTTTCTAAAACCCTTTTGATTTACATTCAGAGTTCTCTAATGGATGCATTTATTTTTTATTTTTGAAGATATTAAGATTTTGTAGCCTTTGTTTATATGATGATTAATCCATTTATACATTCTTCTTTATCAAGGATTTAATCCTTTTTGGTACACTTGCATCATGTTTTTTTCCCCCTTGAAAGAATGATATCTCATGGGGCTTCTCAAGGCTTGCACCTCATACATAAGAAGATCCTAGTACCCCATTTCAATGCCATATCTGTTAAACCTGTACTTTAAGCTCAGTTTGGAAAGAGTACAAATACAAATATGTACAGTACAAATAGATACAAAATAATACTAAATACCAGGTTATGCACTCTACATATTCGAATTTGTACTCTTTCCAAACTGAGCCTTAAGGTAAAATTCTTCTGGTCTAAGTCTTGACATTTTAACTTATGATTGGCTTATGGGATAGCAGGGGAATTGTCAGGTTCAAGGGCGTGGAGGGATTTCCCTGAAATTTTGGCTCCATCCCTTGGTTATTGTATTCCTTGAGAAATGTGCTGTGTTGAAACAACTCTATTACAGAGTCTTCTCAACTCATCGGTTAACTCCCTTGTTTTCCTTTAAGTCGGCCAATTTTCCATTATGATATCAACAATAAGACACCCTAAGGTCATGGTTATGTTTGGTTTCCCTCTATCGTTTCTTTCAACTCTTTTTGTTTTTCATTTGACCTGATGTCTTCCCACTTTGGATCAGCCAACTGTACTCAATAAAATGCCTTGAGAGTTTCATAAACTCCAAGTTCTCCATTCTATTATGTGTAGGATATCGTGTTTTATATTTCCCCCCTTCACTCATATCATATAACATGCTTTTTTCCTCATGTTTTCCAGGCATTAGCAAGTTCCTTGAGAAGTGATATCTCCATAATGGTTAATGGCCTATTGAAGATGGGTTTAGAGGTGGGGATAAATTTGGAAGACCTAAACAAGAAAGAAGCCATTCCATGCTGACTTGTTGAAGCTGGTGGGCATTGGAGACCACATCCAGCAGAAACTGAGAAAATATGTTTTGTATTTAGCCATAACTAGATGCGAATGAGCAGTCCAATAGTGGTCTATTATCTTGGGACCTTATTCCCTAGGCCTTGGTATCATCCTCTGATCACTACCGAATTTTGTTTACCTTCTAGATTGCCTTTTATTTCTTGGAACCAGTACATTTTATTTAGTGTTAGCCATTCTTATCTTCATAATTTTGCAATTGGTAATTTGGTGTCTTGGCGGAGAGAGCAACTTTCAGTTAGACAGACAAGGCAAGAATAACATTTTCGGAACGCCGATTTAATGCGGCGCTAAAAGTGGTTTAGACAGCAGAGCATTTGATTGATGCAATGCCTTGAAACGATCTCAGAAACGTAAGCTACTTTGTCTCAGTAGGATTTGGCTCCGAAAGAGCGATTGTATATGGTTATAATCCTGTAACATTGGTTTGATAATGGTTAATTATTGAAGCAGTTTTAGAACTTTGTTCAATTTCTCTTTTCATCATCATCGTCAGACCAGAACTTTGCAATCTCTACGCTTATGTCCAACACTTTTCTTCATTTTAATTTTATGCTTTGCCTGCATTTTCTACAACTTTTGGGAAAAAATTGTAGAAACCATTTTGGGGTATGTGGCGGTTTTGGGTATTGTCTGGTTCCTATGATCAAATCTACAATAGTTGAGTATGACGTTAAATATTGGTTTAAGATGGACATGGATTCGGTTTGTTATGGCCGAATTAAGAATGCCATAAGACTCGTGCCTTAATTTTGCTAAATAAAGTGAACCGACCCAATAAACCGGTTAGTTCGAATTGGGACTTTAACCAAGCCAAAACTTTAGCAAGTGAACCGGTCAATAAAATGACTCAGCCCTGTAAAGCGGTTAGTACGGACCATTCATTGGTATTTTACACTTGATTGTAATGCAATATATTTGGATAATTGAACTGATCGTTAACTCAGCCCAGACCCAGTTAATCGGTTAGTTCGAATGGTCATTGGGACTTTCAAATTGTAAGTAGATCTGGCTTAGTTGAACCAAGTTGAAAGAGGAGAGTTGATTAAGCTGAAATCTGTGACAACCTAACTCAAACCAACCTCTTAGCAAAATGTTACATGATAATTTCCCCCTCTAATTTGCTCCTAACCGGCTATCCCGATACCTACATATATACACTATCTATGTTTTCTTCATTACACCATCTGTGCTTCTTCACTACACTGTCTGTGTTTCAGTAATCCGTTGTCCACTTGATTCAACTCTGTTTACACCTTCTTCAATACCTCCATTCCTAGCTAGTTGTGTCACCATGACTAGGCTTCTTTCTAGCTTGTTCATTCAACTTCTTGAAGACATAAAATGTAAAGTAGCTGGGATTGCTTCAATTCTACTGGGTTCGTACACATACTACCCGATGCATATGAGCAGTTAATTCCCTGTCTCAAAGGGCAGGTGTGGCCGTGTGGGAGAATTTTCCCTTCACTCTGTTTGTGGTTATGATGTCTGCCATGGGATCGTTGATGGCAGAAACTCTGGTCACTGCTTACTTCAAGAGGTTGCATTTCACACTTATGCCACCCCTGGGCCTTTGCATGGCTCCGATGATTCTACTGCTCCTGATCTTCTCCGGCATTTTGTCACGTGACTCACGTCTCAGGTCAGTTAGTTTGTTGTAGAAGTTATTCAAACTGAAACTGTTATATCTGTTTTCTTTGGGTGTTGTGTTTTACCATGTGTTCTGCTATTTTGGGTTCTGGAATTGGGAATATTGGTACACTCAGTAATTATAGGTATTTCATCAAAATTTTTGAGGGTATGGGGCTTGGTGGATGTATTACCCAGGTATCAATTTTAGTGACAATTGTTTAACTTAATTGTTAATTGTTCTTCCACCCATGATTAATACATTCTTTGCAAAAACTCAAATGGGTCATATTTAAAACCCATTTTTATTTTATACACGGTTTCCCCCCCTCTTTCTCTCTCCCATTTTTTTTTTTAATATTTAGAAGCATTTCTGCAGGACTGCACCTTTCCAAACTAAATAAAATTTTAACCAAAATAATCTTCCGATCAAAAAAGAAAGAGGGGAAGAAAATTTGCCCTCTTTTCAGAGCATGTAGCCCCATTTGCATCATTGATGGGTCCAGCCATTTCTGCAGTATTGTCATCTTTATTTGATGAAAGCAGCAATATTTCTCTTCTTAATAAAGAAAGACATAATTAATACTTCTTTATTCCCAACTGGCATTTGCTAGTGCATTTCATTTCGAATTCTTCACACTAATTTTTTTTTGTCAGTCACTCTACAAGTTCATGCCTCACTAATTATTACAATACAATAATAAATGATAATGAACTTTTAATCCATTACCAGGTTAGACACTAAACTCACTCTTTATCATGGATGTTGATTGGCAAACTTCAAAACTCAAGCTGTCGTGGTTACTATTTTTCTCCCATACTACCCTAGTTGGAATTGCAGTGGGCAAGGTTAAAAATCAGACTGGACACGGAATCGTTCTAGCCAGGTTCCTGGATTGAACGGTCTGACCATCCGGTTCGAACGGATAACTTGTTCTGATTTAAAAAATAAATAAAATAAAAACGGCCAAAAACTGTTGTCCGCGTCAACAATCAATGGTTTGACCATCTGGGTTAGCAGGTCGTTGATCAAATCAATAGTTTTTATCCGGTGAAATGAAACTGGTTACTTGACCGATTCTCAGGTCAATCGGTCTGACTGTCCGGTCCAATCTGGTTTTCAAAACCACAGCAGTGGGCATAGGAATAATCAATGTTTACGATGAGAACAACCCAACTGCTCTCATTGTTGAAGGGATTTTCAACTCTGTTAGAGTAGGGATTCTGATTTATATGGCTCTTGTTGATTTGCTTGCATCAGATTTCCTGAACCTAGAATGCAAAGCAATGGGAAGTTTTAGTTATGGGCAAATATTTGTCTTCTCCTATGAGTTGGTTGTATGTCTATCCTAGCCAAATGGGCTTAATTTTTGTTCCATACGTGCTAGAATTGTAGGAATTATCCTCATTTGATGTTCTATTTTTTTGAATCACAAAAAAAAAAAAAAGAATTCATAAAAGCTTTTATCATGTTAAATTATAGGTGCTTAAATTATTCTTATTACTTCCATCCAAATCATTTTCGGTTCGTCTAGTAAAAACTTTTATTTACAGTTCATCTAGTAAAAATGGAACACAACTTTCATCAGATTTCTATAATTGAAAGTTGTGTTCCATTCTTTCTTCTAGGCTTCTAACTTTCAAACAGGGAAACAACCAAAAACTCTTTCCTGATTGTTGTGGCACCTTCCTATCAATGCAAAACTTTTTCAAATTCCCAGGTTACCCTTGTCAAGACAAAATTCTATGGAGAGCTAAACCAATGGGGAAATTCTCCATAGAATTTCATCTTGACTAGGGTAGGTTAGGAAGCTGTAAAAGCTTTGCATTGAGAGGAAGGTGCCACAACCACCATGAAAGAGTCTTTGGCTGTTTCCCTATTTAAAAGTTATAAGCCTAGAAGAAAGAATGGAACACAACTTTGATTTATAGAAATATATGTTAGTGTAAATAAAAGTTTTGAGTGGACAGACCGAAAATGATTTGTGTGGAAGTAATAAGAATAATTTAAGCACCTATAATTTAACATGGTAAAAGTTTTCATGATTTCCCTTTTTATTTCTGTAATTCAAGATGATAGAACATCAAATGAGTTTCTACAATTCTAGCAAGTATGGAATAAAAAGTTGAGCCCATTTGACTAGGAGAGACATACAATTGGCTCCTAGGAGAAGACAAATATTTGCTCATAATTGAAGCTTCTCATTGCTTTGCATTTTGGGTACATGAAATCTGATGCAAGCAAATCCACAAGTGCCATATAAATCAGAATCCCTGCTGCAGCCGAGTCAAAAATCCCTTCAACGATGAGAGCAGTTGGGCTGTTCTCATAAAAAACATTTGTTATTCCTATGCCCACTGCAATTCCAGCTGGGGTAGTAAGGGAGAAAAAGAGCATCATTACTACCACAGCTAGAGTTCTAAAGTTTGCCTGTCAACACCCATGAAAAAGAATGAGTTGAGTGTCTAACCTGGTAATGGATTAAAAATTCACTAACATTAATTTATTATTGTATTGTAATAATTAGTGAGGCATGAACTTGCTGAGTAAATGACAAAAAAAAAAAATGGTGTGGTGAATTCAAAATGAAATGCGCTAACAAATGCCAGTTGGGTATAAAGTAGTGGTTTTAATTATGTGTTTTCTTTATTAAGTAAAGAAATAATTTTACATTCATCAAATAAAGATGGCAATATTGCATAAATGATTGGACCCATCAATGATGCAAATGGGACAACATTCTCTGAAAGAGGGCAACTTTTCTTCCCCTCTTTCTTTTCTGATCGGAAGATTATTTTGGTTAAAATTTTATTTAGTTTGGAAAGGTGCAATCCTACAGAAATGCTTCTAATTAAAATAAGGAGAGAGAGAGAGAAATCATGTATAAAATGAAAATGGCTTTTAAATTAGACCCATTTGATCTTTTGTAGAGAATGTGGAAATCAAAAAATTGGGTGGAAGAACAATTAAAAATAAGTTAAACAATTGTCACTAAAATTGGTACTTGCGTAATATATCAACTAAGCCCCATACCCTCAAAAAAAAATTGATGAAAGCTACAACTAGAGTCTTTACTGTTGAAGATTCTTGAGAAGCACCTAATGAAATACCCTATAATCATTGAGAAGCACCTCTGTATTTCTTAGAATCTCAACATGTAGGTAACTTGGTCATTGAACTATAACTTAAGTTAGAGTTATACTTGTAATGGGAAAGAGATTTTTTTTCTTATTCCTTTTTTTTTGGTTGCAAGTGTTTCTTATTCTCTCTCCCCTCCCTCCCTTCCTCTCTTTGCCCCATCTAGACCAGGTTTTGTCTGGAACAATTTAAGGCAAATCAGGGAGGAATGACCTTAACCCTAATGACTCAAACATCATGTCAAGCCCAATTATATTTTTAGCTATATATGATGCTTAGATATGAATACCCACATAAACATGGATATAAGAAACTGAGACCTAACTCTCCACTTTCTAAGATCTCCAAGTCAAAGGTTGATTGGCACAATCCAACCATCACACATATAGAGAGGCTGTTTCCAAGATCTAAACTCTGGTCACCCAAGTCTCAATTGAGCAACCCATCCGTTGTGTCAAGGCCCACCCTCAATTGCCTTTTATAATAATTGGAGGGATATTTTTAATCCTTAGTTGGGGTTGAGTTTCTTTGGAATGAAAGCTTAGAGCCCATTGTGTGATTCTTTTGTATGTGGGTACTAGTGTACCCTCCTTTTTCTAGATTTCTTTATTTATCAAATAAAAGAAAGAAAAAATTTCCTAACATGAATACGGGTATGGAATCTCATTTAAATATGCTTATATCATACTATACCCAAATTTTAAGCAAAGTGTAATTTGTAAATACTGGTTGCCATACTGGCCAAATTTAAATTATTTGTTAAAAATACATACAGTTTCTGTTATAGTATAATTTGTTAAAATATACCATTTCACATATTTTAAAAAGCCATAATGCTATAAAGTATACTAGAAGTTTGAATGTAGTATTATGTGTTGCAGTGAGTATGTATTTTTTATCAATTACCATAAATTTTCATTAATTAATGAAAAAGATAGAAAGGGTATGGTCTTAAAGTATAGACATCCAGTATAAACAATTAAAATATTTGTTGTTGACCATTTTTTTACAGAGTTCTCAAAACATGGGAAGGTTTGATCATTTACACAATTGCCATCAAATAACAGGAAAATTGGGGAGATTCTCATTTGTCCAACAAGTTTTGCTCGTGAAGAAAAAAATATTTCTAATAAAATATGTATCTTTATGGTTTTCCTGTTATTTTTCCACAGATTAGAACCCATTCAACTTTGGTAGCTGCACACCCTAGAATTATATGAAACCAACACTAAATTCAACCTGTTCCAAATTTGAGACAAAATATAATTTACTTGAGAAATCTGCAGCAACTCTCCAAAATATGTCACTCTCACTTAGGTTATGTTTGGTTTGAAGGAAAAAAGTAGAGAAATTTATACAAGGTTTGTAAAGGTTTTTTTACTTTTCCTTTCTTTCTCTACCTTTCCCTTCAAACCAAATACAGCCTTAGGGATAGCAATTTTTCCCATTTCCCCAATCCCCGTGGGGATCCGCCCCAAATGGGGCGAGGATGGGGATGGTTTTCTCCTCGCGGGGACAACGATGGGAACATTTTCATCCCCATTAGTGGGGATTGGGCGGGGATGGGGAGAGCACTCCCCACCCCGCGGGGACCCTGATCCCTACCCCGTGGGACCCCCACTAATATACATGTATGCATATTTTATATATGTACATATGTATATATACATCTATATATTAATATTTTTAAAAATATGGTTGAATATGTTTGAATCTTTTCTAATAGGATTGTAAATTTTAATTATTTTATTTTTATTTTTTAAATAAAATAATAAAAAAAAAACAAAATAGTTAACATTATAAAAAATCACGGGGAATGAGAATCCCCGCGGAAATGGGGATGGGGATAATCTTGTCCCGGTTAGCGGGGACGGAGATTTTCACGGGGATGTCCCCATCCCCTTCCCGTCCCATTGCTATTCTTAGTCTCACTCCCTATATTTTCTATCCTAATATTCCAAGGGAAACCAAACAAAACTTCCCTAGCAAAATGGCATTCGAAAAATATATGTATAAGAGATTCCCACAATTATCACACTAAGAAGGGGCTTAACACCTATAAAATTACAAATAGCTCTCCATAAAAAATAATCTGAATCTTGGGGGAACAGATAAATTCCTAACTTTTTGATTAAAGTCAACCTATCAGTAGAAAAAGAAAGACCAAATGAAAAGATTTTACAAAAAACTACCAGACTTTTAACACCCCAATATCCAGCCCTTTCTCACTATATTTTCAGATAAATGAGTATTCAAGATATCCCTCACAACTTACTCCTCAAAAGTCGAGTAAACTTTTCCCCTATCCTAATGCCCAAATTGAAATCCACCAAATCCTTGATCCTCATATTAGCATGTTCCTTCCTGGAAGGTTCAACAGGAGCCATAAAAGATTTTATCCTTAAGGCACATTTCAAACATTAAAATCAGTGAGAAGAAACATTAAAATCAAATTCATAGACATAATCTAGTTATTGAAATCCAACAATTTTTTTTTTCTTATTGATTTATATGGTTCATGATGCATAAAGCACAAGAACCAATGGTAATTAAGGGGATCAAAATTTGACATATATAAAAGAATGTGCCTTTATGAGAAAGCACATACTACCCCACATGGTTTTCAAAACAGGACCAGACTAGATGGTTGGACCGGAAAAATCGGGAACCAGTCAGGTGATCGTTTTCATTTTATCCCAGAACTGTTATTTTGCCAAAAAATTGTTGATTTGGTCAGTAAACCACTGACCTGGGCATTCAAACCGTCCAACGGTTTTATCCGTTTTTTATTTTTTATTTTTTTGTCAAAACGAGTCATCCATTCGGTTTGAACGATCAAACTGTTCGACCCTGAAACCGGACCCCTGACCAATTCGTTGTCCGGTTCGATTTTAAAAACCTTACTACCACGTGAAAACCATGCTTCCAAAAAAAATGAGAATTCTACTAGCTAAGCCTTTTGGAGAGAGTGAAAATGCTAGGGTATTTTAATTGTTGACTTAACTCAGATATAGATATAGCCTTGTGATCGGGGAAACAGAAAGTAGACTCCCGTGAGACAAACGCAAAATTAGAAGTCCAACTAATCGGACAATGTAGGATGGAATATATGCTTTATGTCCTCGTTCTTTGGTCTCCATGCTATTACTTCCGTTTTTGTGATTTCCCAATTTTAAATTATAAGCTGAATTTTATTGTAAATTTCCCCATTGATCCGGGTCTCCATAGAATTTCGTCGTCTTGACTAGGGTAGGTTGGGAAGCCGTAAAAGCTTTGCATTGAGAAGAAGGTGCCACATCCGCCATGAAAGATTCTTTGGTTCTTTCCCTATTTGAAAGCTAGAAGCCTAGAAGAACGAATGGAGTGGAATAGTACAACTTTCCATTTCAATTATAGAAATGTTAGTGTAAATAAAAGTTTTGAGTGGACAGAAAGATTTGGATGGAAGTAATAAGAATAATTAATTTAAGCACCTATAATTTAACATTATAAAGAAGACATCTATGAATTCATTTTTTTCTGTGGTTCAAGAAAATCTAACAATAACAATTCTAGCAAGTATGTATTGGAACAAATATTATTAAGCCCATATGGCCAGTAGTGACATACAACCAGCTCCTAAGAGAAGACAAATATTTGCCCATAACTGAAGTTTCCCATTGCTTTGCATTCTAGGGTTCATGAAATCTGATGCAAGCAAATCAACAAGCGCCATATAAATCAGAATCCCTGCTGCAGCAGAGTCAAAAATCCCTTCAACGATGAGAGCAGTTGGGCTGTTTTCATCATAAACATTTGTTATTCCTATGCCCACTGCAATTCCAGCTGGGGTAGTAAGGGAGAAAAAGAGCGTCATTACTACCACAGCTCGAGTTCTGAAGTTTGCCTGTCAACAACAACCCATGAAAAAGAATGAGTTTAGTGTCTAACCTGGTAAGGGAGAAAAATCATGCATTTTTCTTTTTAGTAAGAAAAGAAACAATTCTGCATTCATCAAATAAAGATGACAATATTGCTTGCTTAAATGGTTGGACCCATTAATGATGCAATTGGGGCAATAACATTCTCTGAAAGAGGGCAAATTTTCTTCCCATCTTTCTTTTTTGATCGGAAGATTGACTGACTGTGTATAAAATGAAAATGGCTTTTATATAAAACCCATTTGAACATTTGCAGAGGATGTGGAAATCAGAAGAATGGGTGGAAGAACAATTAAAAATTAATTCAAACAATTGCCACTAAAATTGATACCTGGGTAATACATCCACCAAGCCCCATGCCCTCAAAAAATTGATGAAAGCTGAGAGCTGCAACTAGGGGCTTTATCGTTGAAGGTTCTTGAGAAGCACCCAATGAAATACCTATGATCACGGAGTGTACCAATATTCCCAATTCCAAAACCTGTCGTCCATAACCCAAAATTGTAGAATCCATGTTAAAACACAATACCCAATGAAAACAAGGATAGAAAAGTTTCAATTTGAATAAGTCTGCAACAAATTGAGTGACTGACCTGAGACGTGACACGATGCCGGAGAAGATCAGGAGCAGTTGAATCACCGGAGCCATGGGAATGCCCATGGGTGGCATGAGTGTGAACGTGCAGATGACCCACATGGTCACCCTGCATTTCCTCGTCGACGTTGGTCGGTAGAGACTTACTGAAATGCAACCTCTTGTAGTAACCAGTGGCCAGAGTTTCCACCATGAACGTTCCCATGGCAGACATCATAGCCACAAACCCAGTGAAGGGAAAATTCTCCCACACCTTCCCTTTGAGACAAGGCGAAGTTAACTGCTCAAATGCATCGGGTAGTATGTGTATGAATCCAGTTGCCAGAATCACACCTGCAGCAAATGCCTTGATCAGAAAGAAGACATTCCTATCCGGATGTAACGCCGGAATCGTTCTACCCAGTACCGGAATGCAAACTCCGATGGCACTAGCCAACAGAATCGAAACAAAAGCAGCTATTTTGTACTTGAGCGCCAAGCTTCTGTCTTGTTTCTCATCCTGAACATCAACATCACACGTACACTCCCCAAAGACAAAGATGGGGAGAAGAAGAACAAAAAGAGTGAACGCTGTGAAGAGCTTGGATGAAATACATGAAGGTCCTTTCATGGTGAGGAGATAGAAAGAAAGTAGGTAAGGAAAAAATTCGAAACACATATGGTTTTGACTTTTGGGTAAATATAGGTAACCATCAGGAGAAATAGTGGGTGGGGCAGGAGCAGATTAATGAGTCATGAGTCAATTATGAGGTCATCTTTAGTGAAGAGGTTGAGTTGTGTTACCAGAAGGAGTTGGGATGTTGTCATTCTTCTCTAAGTGGTTACAGAGGATTGGACGAAAATGCAGAGAGTGATAAGACTGTTGACACTACGTTGTCATCTGTGCGTCGTGAGTGTGCAATCCAAATATCAGATACGTAAGGATTTGGAACATCCAGACCGTCCAATTGATCAGTGACTCTTGGACTTTTAATGATTTCTATAACTAACCGTTGAAAATTCAGCAAAATTCATGCGGTGGTTTGGATGGGTCAATCTCTAAAATTGACATATTCAAGCGGTGGCAACTCAATCTGCGTGAAACCGCCGCGGAACTACTGCGAAACCGCTGCTCTCTGAGTTTCCAGGGAGGCTCTCTCTCGAGAACTCTCGAGGTTTTTGTTTTCTCTTTCTTTCTGTTTAATTTCTTTTGTTGCTATGTTCGTTTGCTTTGTGTTTCGTTTGTTCTCTGTTGAGTTTCTCTTTTCGTTTTGTTCGTTTGCTTTTTGTTTAATTTTTTTTTTTTTTTTTCTGTTTTTCTCTTCGTTTTCTTCGTTTGTCTTCTGTTTGTTTCGTTTGCCTTCTGTTCGTTCTGTTTTTTGTTTGTTCTCCCCTATTCCTTTCTTTTTCTCCCTATGTTCCCATCTGTCAGTCTGTTCGATCTTTCTACGGGCGTTTTAATTGGGAGTTTCTTCTCTAGAATCCTTTCTGTATTATCCACCGGTGGAAGCTGCCACTTGCATTGCCGTTCTCAGCATTTTGGAAGGTAGCTTTAGTTCTCTGTTGGGTGTGCTGATTGTTCTGACTTCTTTGCGGATTGGTTCGGAGTAGGGGGAAATTACAGATCTTGGTTTATAGATTTGAAAACCTGTCCTATCAGTTATTCTCGCCAGCTATGGTGGTTTGGAGCATTTCTATGGCTGATTTTAAGTCATCTTGTTTCGATTGCAAGTTGCAGAAGTTCTTTCGATTTTCCTACATCCATCTTTTTATTTTGTTCTTCTTGAGATTTGTGTTTGCACTTGTTGACATCTCTTTCTATCAATCTGTTTAATGAATGAAATATTTTAAGACTTCAAAAAAAATAAAAAACGACATATCCCACTTTCACATTTCAAAGCTTGACCAATCAAAATCACCCCTAGCAATTCTGATTATTCTTATTTAGACTTTATTTCTGCAAATCGGATCAATTCCGGTTTACGAATACCGCCAATATGCTTTTGACTTAGAAAAAAATAAAATAATACAAAAAACCATCCAAAACCTCCAACATTTTGGATGTCTCTAAAGAATCATAGTTCTTGTTTTTTACTAAATTAGCTTTGATGTATGATCTCATATCACAACTATAGTAGTGCACGTGGTGGTTAGAAAGTCGTGATCCCTTTTAACATTTTTCTTTTTTTAATTTAAAAAAAAATAATTTCAATTTGATAAATGTCTAACAATGGTATTTTGGATGTATATAAAAGTCGGAAGTTTCAGACAATATTAATAAAATGTCAGCATGGATAACCCAATTCTTTATTTAGATTTTGGCATACTAATGATCAAATGATCAATGTGCTTCCTTGCTTTATTAAAGGGATTCGGGTTTTGTTAAGCAAAAGCTAAAGAATATAAATACATAAAAGTATACAATTGTTTTATATTTTAATTTTTTTTAAAAATTAATAATAATTTATATTTTATATATTACTTTTAATAATTTTTATAATACAAAAATAATAATAATTAATTTCAATTAGGGTTGTTTATCTAACCAATAAAACCAATCAACCCAACTTAACTCGACCCAATTGGCTTTGATTCAACAATTTTCTAACCCAACCAGGTTGGATCAGTTTTGTTTTGTCCATTTATAAACCACCAAAACCAAATATATATATACATATATATATATATATATATATATATATTTTAAATATAATTTTTTAATACATAAAAGTGTAAAACTTCCCATATTCCTTGGTTTAACATATTTTATATTATAAATTCAAGATTTTAATTTGTTTTTAAAATTACCATTGTAATTTTTAAATTTAAATCTTTTGAACCAACTAACTAAATTGAAAATCAACCCCAAAAGGATACAACCCAACTTGGCCAATTTTCACTAATGGTCAGTTAGTTATGGGTGACCTACTCCTAAACTTGATCGGGTTGATTTGGTTAGCCAAACAAGCTACAACTAAACCAAGGGTTCGACTATGATATTGGAAAGATATAATATCTAATTTTTTTTTTGATAAATCAACTGGTATCATAAACGTGGTAGCCAATCAGTTGTTATTTATCAAAATTCATGGGTGGGTTTTGATTGGTCAAAACTCTTCCAGTACCATATCTTTCCCGCATCATAGATTTTCCCTAAACCAAACCAACCTATGAATTCTCCTAATTTCAGCTAAATTAATAGTCTAATCTCTAATAAATAACAATAGTTTAATCTCCAATATTTATTGAAAGATTATAGTGAAAGTACACAATTATTGAAGATAAATTTATAATGAGAATACAATAAAGAACAAATAAAAATACAATAAATATAATAATTAAAAAACTACAATAAATACTGAAAATATATTAAATTAGTCAATAAATAGTGTAACCTCAAATAATAGTTTAATCTCTAATAAATATTAATCAAGAAATTATAACAAAAATACATAATTACTAAATATCAATTCATAACAAAAATACAATAAATACAATAAATTAAATTGAAAAAGTTCAATAGTAGTAGTCTAATCTCCAAAAATTATGGAAAATTATCTATTGAATAACAAAACAAAAATAGATTTATACATAATTATTGAAAATATTTTATCACAAAAAATAAATAATTACTGAAAATAAAAAATATTAAATTTAGTATACATAAATGTATAATAAATATAGATTAAGATTTTAAAACTATTATTTTTTAAATTTATTTTCTAAAATTATTAATTGATATAAGTGAAATTAGTTTACAATATTATTTAGTTATTTAAATTATAAATTTATTTAAAATTTTAAAATATTAACTATTTATTGAATTTAATAATCTATAAAACTATATTTTATACTATTATTACATAATTTCGTTTTTAATTTTCTAAAATATTAAATTATTAATAAATTTGAATGTTATGAAATCTATTATAATTATTTTCTACTTTTAATAAATTTTCTAAATTTATTACATAATTTCATTATTTTAACTATTTAAAATTTAGTTATGTTAAATATTTCGTTATTTAATATATTTAGTTATTTAAATATTTAAATAATATGTAAAATACTTAAATTTTTTCGTTATTTGAATTTCATTTATTTTAAATTTATTACATAATGTTAAATATTTTTTTATATAATTATTTATCTATTTTAATATTTTTTAAGCTATTTAGTTATTGAAATATTTACATAACATTTTATCTTTTTAATGTGAAATTTTTATCATTTGAATAACATTTAAATTGAACAATCCATAAAAATATAATTTATATTGTTAGTACATAATTTCATGATGAATTTTATAAGAATATAAAATTATTTATAATATGAATAGAAAAATGTTATTTAATTATTTAACTATTTTTAATATTTTTTTATTTAAGATATTTAGTTATGTAAATATTTAAATAATAATTTATCTTTTGAATGTTAATTTTTTATTATTTGACTAACATTTTAATTGAATAATTTGTAAAATTACAATTTAAATCGTTAGTATATAATTTCGTTATAATTATCTATCTACACTATATTATAAAGCAATTAGGTCCCACGCCAGCACCCCACTCCTCCAATTCCCCTTTTTCTCTTTTCTCCTTAAACCTCTCTCCTTCTCCAATCCCTAGTGGACCCGAACCGAATGGACCAATTATAACAGTTCTGGTTCTACGATTTTGTCCTGATTAATAATTGGTTCAATTTTGGTTCTTGCCTATCCCAAACCAATTTTTTTATTACACATATGGTTTTCTTAATTTTATTATATTTTTTATGTTTGAAACGATAAATTTGATAGAAAATATTAGTTAAAATGTTTAATTTATTAACATATAAATAATTTAGTATTTTCCTATCATTTTTATATATTAAGGTTATATTAACAAAATTTAAATTTTAAGTTATTATTTAAATTGACATATAATTTTTTGTACAATTGGGTCTATCTGGTCTAGGCACAGACCCAATAGACCTGACTATTAACCGAGACGATTCTGGGTCTATGATTTTGTCACGATTAATAATCAGTTGGGGACTAGGACCATCTAGACCCAACCCATTAACAACCTTAATGGAAACACAACCTTAGCGCTGCCTAGGCTTAGCTTGAGCTGCACCATAGGATATATATATCGAATTTCAATTTAGTAGTCAATCAATTTTCATCTCTCCTCATTAACTTACTATTAACTCTTTCTTGTCTTGCTCATTAACTCCTTTGATTATGTTTCTTCATTAATCATTCCATTAACCTTCTCTCCTCCAATAACTCACTCCAATAATTCTCTCCTCTCAATTACTCCATTAAATTGCTTAAATGTATTTACTCTTTTCATTTTTATTTTTATTTTTTCTTTTCCTTTTTTATTTCACTCTCTCTCCTCTCATCATTAATCTAATAAACCAAAAGCCATTTTATTTCATTCTATCTCCTATACTCATTAATCACATCAGGCCTACAAATTTCAAGGTCGACATGGGCCCAACCTAGCCCATAAACAAATAACAATTTAAAAATTAGTTAATAAAAAAATCATAAATAGTTAAATCACTACAAAATAATGAGAGAGAATTCTAGGAAATAGGTCTCACGGCTTCCATTTATCTATTTTGTGGTTTTCATGAATTTTTATATTTAAAATT